GACGGAGGACACAGGGGAGCCATGCACATCACTCAGCAGGGGCCACGTGGGGAGAAGGATGGTATGGATGTGCGTGGGGGTAGGAACATCCCCTCTCTCCTCCATGATGGAGGGGCTGCGGAGTGGGAGCTGGTAGTCCTGGAGCACAGGATGGGGATAGGAGGTCTCCATCACACATGGGGACGCAAAGGGACCCAGGGCCAGGATTTCAGATTGTTGGGGGTTGGGTCTTCCCCTTAAGGTGCATCCCTCCCTGCTGGGGACTGGGATAGGGGAGACTCTCCCCTTAGGGACCCTGCTCTCCTTCTACCTGGCTTCTTGGAGATTGATTTGATGAGGGACGAGGGCAGCTCCGAGTGCTCCACTTTGCAGGTGAAGGTCTCTCCGACTTCCGAGTCGCGGGTGAGGATGGGCATGGAGCTGGAGGCAGTGAAGGTTCCGTTGAACTGCTCAGCGAGGTCCAGGCGATCAGGGCTAACGGACCCTGGCTTCTCCCGGGACCAGACCACCTGGAGGCTGGAGTTGCTAGGCAGGTTGACCACCAGACACATGAGCATGGGGCTCTGGGCCACGTACAGGGCGGCGGGAGACGGGGGCACCAGGAAGACCTGGATGTTGCTGGGAGATGTCATTTCTTCTAGGGACAGGAGAGTGCAGGTCAGCCGCTTGGCCTGGTCTCCCCTGGCAAGCCCATCCCAGTCTCACCCCGCACTACTCTCCCCCCTCAAGCCCAGCCCTGTGTCCCCCTCCTCAGAGGCAGATATACAGTAAATCACAGGGTGCCCTGGCATGGGGCACCCCAATGACAGGGGTCCCCAGGGCCTGGCCGCTATGGGGGCAGAAGCTTGGTCTTGCCGAGTGGTGGATTTAAAGTGAGTGGGGCCCTGTCCTCAGCTTCATTTTTGGGGCCCCCCCGGGACCCAGACAAGAAAAAGAACAGTCTGTCTTATCTGCCCCGCCCCCATTTTTCATTCTTGCGGGGGCAGATAAGAGAGAATGTTCTTTTTCTCGGCTGGGCCCCAAGGTGGGGCCCCAAAAATGAAACTGAGCATAGAGCCCCAGTAACTCTAAATCCGCCACTGCCCCTCAACTTCCTAGGCAGCCTAGCCCTGGGGAGCGTCACCTTCGCACTTGCGGGTGTGGTCCTGCTTTGTGCTCCCGGTGCCCGGGTGGGACACCTGGCAGGTGTATGTCTTGCCCTCCAGCCACTCATCCTGGGAGACACTGGCATTGCTGCGGGTGTTGAAGGTGCGACCGTCGCCATCCTTCTTGGCAGAGGCGGTGTGACCACGAAGTATCCCGGGCTGGCCGTTTACCAGCCATTCCACCGTCAAAGGCTCGGGGTAGAAGCCGGAGATGAAGCACACCAGCTGGATAGTGTTTGGGTGGTTGGTGCAGGAGGAGTGGAGGACATGCACGTCGGGGTCATGGGGCATGGGCTCAAGGGGGGTGGGCTCTGGAAGAAGGGTGGCAGGAGTTAGTTTTTGTACAGACACCTTCTGAGCCCCCCCTGCTCCCTGTAGCATGGCGCCCCCTTTGGAGCCCTCTGCCCCTTTCCCTGTATTGCAGCACCAATCGCTTCTCTTGGCGTGGTGTCTCTTTTCATCCCTCCACCCTTCGGTGCATGGTCTCTCTCTCTCGACACCCAACACTATCTACCTGTCCCCATCCACTCCCATCTCTCTGTGGTGTCGCTCTCCATCCACCCACCCACCACAGCGACTCCATCAGCTCACAGCAC